TTATGCGGCGTGACTGTCGGTGTTCACCTGTCCGTCGTCGTTCTCCATCACATGCTGATATTCTTGCAGTGGGCGTAGCTGCTGTGCGTAATGCTGCTTGTGCGTCCAGATGGCCTTCGTGGTGAGGTTCTGCTCGCGCATAATGCCAATGCACTCAAAGTTGCCATACTGGCGCTTCAGCTTCCCGAACTCCGCTTCTATCATGCCCAGCACCTTCTCCCTCAGGTAGTCCTCGCCGCCGCCCTTCAAGTCGTCAACGTGCGAGGACATGATCATCTGCAGCTCGCCCTGCTCGTTGTGGTACACATAGAGCTGCGGGTCGCTGATGAGTGCCTTGCCGCCGGTCTTCTCCAACACCTTCTTCAGCATGACCTGCCAGTCTCGGCGCGTCTTTGAGGCCAAACCCGCAGCGAAGGAGCAACAACACCTCTGCCACAGGGCTGAAGTCCTCATATCCTTCACGTTGTCGTAGCACGGGTATCGACCCAGGCGGCATGGTGAACTGCACTTTTCGCTTCACTTCCCCGCCCATGGCGGCAACCTGCTCGAAGGTGAGGCCACGCAAGAATGCTTGGCTGATGTCAGCTGAGAACAATCGCCACCTGCGCTGTGCCGTCACTTGATTCACCAGTCGTTGTCCCCATCGTGTCGTCGTTCCTGCAAACGTGGACAGCTCTGGAGACTGCATGTCCTTGAAGCCTCTCACGGTAAGTCTCGCACGGACCTGCTTCCTGCCGTCGATCTCCTTCCACTTGAGCACCCAGCGCGAGGTCGATGACGTTGTTCGCCTGATCCTTCGGGAATCGCTGGAATGCTTGCAATCCCGCCCAGCGTTGGAGCTCATCCTTCATCGCCTGTCGCACTTCAACCCCATGCTCTCGGGCTTCCTCCAGCGTGAGCACATTCATCTCGCGCTCGACAACAATCTCGCGCTGGCCCGCGCTGTAGATGCGAAGAACATAGATCTCGCCAGTTCCCGGACGTCGAACGTGTTCTGCCTCGGGGCATACCCAGTACATCAACGGAGCGCCCATGCCGATCTCGACGCAGTCGGGTCGGGAATTCGTGGAGTCCTCCTCAATGGCCTCCATCACGTGATCTGCGTCCGGGGCTGAGAAGAAGAAGTCGTTCTGAGCGCACTCGATGTCGACCGCAGGCAATGCGGCCTGCTCCTTCATATACTGCCAACTGGCGAACTCGTACTCCTGAGTGGCGTCGCTGTCCGAATCGTCGTCGTCGTTCGCGTCATGGTCTTCCTGGAGCGGCAGCACAGGCTCGTGCAGCGACGCAGAAGGTTCTGCCGCCGCTGCTGGCTCACCAGAGCCTCGAGCTCCACGATCGCGGCCCCCAGCGTCACGAGATCGCGATCTCTCTCGAACTTCCTTCATATCTGGAGACGCCCTACCAATCCTCGTTGTCGGCCCGACATCGCTATGCACGGTCGTGGCCGTAGAAGGTCCTCGGGGCCGCTGTGGTCCTCTGTCACTCCTACTCCTCGTGGACACACTTGACTGTCTTGACGCGCTGGATAATATCGTGTCGGGTGCTCCTGGCGTAGTCGTGCTCATCTGTCTGGACATGCTTGGTATGCTCGTGTCAGATATCGGTCTGTCCTGCCAGGGTACGTCAAAGTCCCTCCTGAAGCTCAGGTGGGTCTTGAAATGGTCCGGGTTCAGGTCGCTCTGGCTGTTCATATCGTCGCGCGTGTGGGAGATTGCCAAACCATGGTCCTCCAAGATGTGGCGCCTCAGGTTCGCGTCGTCGAAGTTCCCGAACTGATTCGTCGTCGGTCAGGATGAACTGCACGAAGCTCACGTCTCGCCAATGATCCTTGCCAAAGATCTGCGCAAGCTTCAATCTCGCGGAACCCGACGCCTCGTGGTACCAGGATAGCTCTGGACGGCCACGCCGCCACCACCACAGAAAGCTATGGTCACAGCCGACCATTCCTTCAAATACAGATACGCCATTGCCCACTCTCGCGTCGATGCAGCCCACCAGGTAGAAGCCGCTGGCGGCTACATGCAACACCGCCAGAACCAGCTCGCTGAGCTTCTGACTGTCCGCGGTCCGCTTCCACCCGGCGTCGAAGAGCCAGCCCACACGCGCGACCTTGCTGTCCAGCTGGTCTGCGTAGCTCATGATGGTGGCCACCGGGTCGCGCGACCCAGCTTCGAAGAAGATGTTGTTCGTGAACATCACAATATACACAAGGCTGCGTCGAAGGTCCTGTGGTCGGACTTGAAAGACTCGGCCTTGCCATCGAACGAGCACTGGCGGTCCAACCTGCAGCAGAGTGGCTGGTCCACGCCAGCCCGACTCCTCCTTTGTGCTCGGTGGTCGATGGAAGTCAACCTGATCTCCGACAGCAAGTGATACTGTCTCGTGAGGGGCCCGTGTCTTGGACCGTAGTGCACGCCTCAGTCGATCCTTCGCGGTCATCTCTACCATGGCCTGCATCGCCACCTCACGTAGTCGATGACGGTGTCGTGAGATGCCCGGGATGCCCGCAGACTGATCATCAATTTGACAGTGGCTCACCGGCTCGAACTCCGCCAGTAGTGGAGGGAGTCGTCCGTACACCGCCTGGTAGGGACTGAAGCCCGCCACGGTGATGAGGAGGTTCTTGATGAGTGCGCACTCCGCAATCACGATCTCCAACGGCATCGCGATGCCTTCCTGCTCAAGCTGGCTCCGCACTCGGTGTATGATCTTGCGTGCTAGGTCATGATGACGCTCCACCAACTGAGCGTGCGAGCCCTCTTCCTTAGCTTTTATCTCGATGTCCCAGCGGTCCAGCCACTGGTACGCCTCCTCTCCGTGGAGGCCGCCCTCGACATCGGCAATCAGCAGCTTCATGGGGCCACGAGGGCGTATCCAGCCGTTGGTGATCCCAGCAATGATCGTGATCGCCGCCTTGCGGTCTAAAATATTCAGCACTGTCCAGCGCGTGGCTTCGTCGATCATGTGGGCCACCATCTGGTCGCCGATGTAGAGAATGTCCCACTGGACCATCTCGTTGAAGCCCGTCGCGAGTCGAGAAACTGTCATACTTTTCGGTCCCGGTCGCGTCCACATTCTGCACACTCGGCATGTGTCGCAGATCTCCTTCACCAGGGCCAGCGTGGACGCAAGGGCGCCGGCCTTGGTCAGCAACTCTCGGAGGCGAGCGGCTGGAGCGTGCCAGAATCGAACATGGAGTCGTCGTAGTTGGCGCCGGACAACTTCTTGATGTGGGCTGCGCGGCAATCGCAACGCGTGTCTGAGGTCGAACGCGGTCCAGCCAGGCTCGTCACTGGCTCGAGCCTGAGTTCCCGCATCGACACCTTGAGGTCGTTCAGCTGGAGCTGCTGCAGGTTGCGCCGCGCCCGGTGCTTCCGCGGCGGCGTCAGCAGATCCTGCGGCGTCACCTGACGACTCAGCTGGCTCTGCTCCGTCCAGTGCGGCTGCCAGTCTCGATCGAGGTCGTGGACCATCCAAGCGAGCTCTCCGAGCTTGCCGCGCTGCCAGAGCTGGTGGAAGTGGATCATCGGGTCCCGCTCTTCGAGCTCGCCGTTCTGCCTGAACGGGTGGAGGTAGTGGTGGTTCTGGCTCGGCGTCGGGCGCGTCAGCTCGAGCTGCGCTTGGTGATTGATCCGCAATCGGCTCTTCCGCGGCTGGCGGTTGCCGTGGCCGCAGGACTCGCGGTCCGACTGCCCTCGGTAGGACTCCGTCTGAACGGCACTATCCAGGTATTCGGGTGTGTCGTGTGTCTGAGACCGCGCGGCCGCTCCGGCATGCCGGGCACTTCAGGTCGCGCGTCTTCACCAGTCTATGCTTGCATGTTTCTCCTCTGTCGTGCGATGCGTGATCAGCCGGCCGATGATGTCGGCATCCTGGACATGATCGCACTGCGGCAGGTGCTGCTGCTGCTGCTGCTGGTGCTGCAGCTGCTGCTGCTGATCCTGATGCCGATGCTGAAGCTGCCTGTGCAAACGAAGAAGAAGCGGCGCCAGCGCCGTCCGCCTGCACCGCAGTCGCGGGGTAGCACTCGAACACGACAAGGTGATGTCCCTGAGACCTCACGTGCTCTATCATGCGGGCAATACTCGTGGCCAGCTCCCTGCAAATACCGATGGCCCACTCTGCATGATCTTTAGGATTCTCCAGGCGCCGCTTGTCCTGCTCCGGGCAGGCGCCTCGACCGCCATGTGCCAGCAGGGCGTGCTGATGCTGGCCGTCGCAACGGAACTTCCTGAGGCCGCCGATCAAGCACTCGTTCGATGCCCAGAACTCGGAGGACTTCTTGATCGGTAGTCCTGTCCGACGTCCTCTCTTGCCCGCCATGCACTGGTCAACCTGGGACCACACCACCGCGTAATTGTTGGCAATGTACTTCCAGTCGTCGAGTTTGTAAAGTCGCTGCCCAGGGGCTGCTCCGACACGAAGTGGCGCCCGGCGTTCATCTGCGCGCATGCTGCCGCAGCGGCCAGGCGGGCCAGTGCCACTGATATCCTGCGACTGCGCAGCCAGCCGCCGTGGTTGATGACCTTGTTGAGTACCGAGAACCCCTTCCGGCTAGTACATGGCGTGCTGATCAGCAGCACGAGGGGCTTGCTGTCATGCAAGTATGCCCAGAACTGCTGCTGGCCCTCGTGAGTCATCAAGTTGCAGTTGCAGATGAGGTCGAAGTTGGGGCCACCTCGGTAGCCTCGTCGTACAAGTAGCCGTGTTGTCCCCGATGCTCCACCGCACAGCTCCGCGACATCGTCGTGCTGCAGGTGGCCGTAGTAGTGATTCATATACTTTACCATATCATTCGTCAAGTGAAAAAAATTATGCTGCTCGTCCTTCTGGCTCAGATAAGCCCCCGAGCCGGTCATGCCAAAGAACTAGGACATCATCACGCACGGCTGCTCGTCGACGTACTGATCTTCCCTGAGCTCGGCGCCGTAGCAGACCTCGTCCACCTCGTACTCGTTCGCCACGTAGAGCTTCGTGAAGTCGGACCCGCAGTCGTCGAAGACCTGCTCGACCTCCTGCGGTCTCTTCTTCACCTTGCGATCCGGGTCTGCTGCCTTGCGCGCCTTGTCGCGCGTCCTCTGCTCGGTGGGAAAGCTCGCGGCCAGCGCGCTCACCTTGCAGCCGGCATCGTCGACGTCGTCGGCGAACGAGACTCGGCCAGGGGGATGCAACTCACGTCGTGACTGCTCCACGCCGGCTTCTTCCAAGGCCACTGTCCGTGATCCTGGAGGCCCGGCAGTCGTCGGATCAACTCCTGACGACCCGGGTCGGGCAGCACTGCACCCCTGGCCTCGCGGCCTGGCGTGGCTGTTGCAGATGGCGACGATCCGTCGGCTGCGTCGGATCTCACGCCGCCGTCGATGCACCCAGCGGCCACCATCCGCTTGACCAAGGCAGACACCCCCTTGGCTTTGAAGTCTGGCCGATCTGCAGCTGTCTTCCGTGTAACGTGTCGGCCAGGTGGCCAGCCACAGCGGCACTTCGCATCGTGGTCGTCAAAGTAGCTGCTGCTGAAGATGCGAGTGACCTGTGCTGCTGGGAATCCTCGAGCGTCACGCACTCCGAGGTTACACCATCGCAGTCGTCCCATGTGCCATCTGCCGTCGTCTATCAGCTCGAGAATGTCGGGCATATCCCACGCCGCGCTGCCCTCGTCTGCCTCGACGACGCATAGGCGATGTCCTTCAAGTTGAGCTCGAGCGATCCTGCACTCGAAGCGCTTGGCTCGCTTGTCGTTCCGCGTGCCCCTTGCCGTACCCGGCTGGGCAAGGCTGATCCACGCGAGCTCCGGTCGCCGGTGGCGCAGGGAGTCCGCCCACCTGTCCTCTTGCCCGAGGAATCGGTGAACATCGCAATTGCGGCCCACCGCATATACGCATCCGTGCAGCGCATTCTGGCATAGGTTCTGCAAGTCGCCGAACACACATGCCGACGGCGGTCTCCCCTGTACTTCTCTGGTGCCCCCGCCGCCCCGAGCACCACGATGGGGGGCCTGCGATCAGAGTTGCACGCCGCCCTTGTCGGGCTGCCCGCCAGAACTGCTCGCGGCGGCTTCGCTGCTGGATGACGTTGCGGTAGTACTCTGCTTGCTTGCTATGCTGGACGCCATCGGAGTTGGTGAAGTAGCTGCTGTCGAGGCGGTAGTATCGGACGCGGTTGACGTAGCCAATGCATGGTCTTTGTCGGCCCTGCACCCCTCAAAGTCAGCTCGTCGCACAGGTCACAGGGCAACGTGAGATGGCCAGCGTGGCTCTCCTCTAGGTGGTACTGTGCCGATCCAGGGCTCAGCCGCAGTGAATAGCCACCTGGGCCGATGCGGTACAGCCTGTTGTTGAAGCAGTCCAGCAGGGCGCGCTGGCCCCGCAAGGACTTCCGCCCGAGCAGCTCTGGCACGCTGCTGTTCGGGAGCACTGGTGCTTCATAGGTAGCCACCTGACCTCCTCCCAGTGCCAGTTGATAACGATGAGAACGAGTCGCTTGCTGAGATCCTGAGCCCACGCCACCAACTTCGAGCGTCTTGCCGAGGGGCGTGCGAACTGGTGGTGGGAGTCCTGCCTGTCGCTGCTTCTCGGCCATCCGATGGCCCCACTCGTCGCCAATGAGGTTCCCTGGGCCCCCGGGGTCCACCGGCAAGGCCTCGCCACTCTTGTTCTTCATGCGGGTGCGGACCAGATAGGTCCCCTCGCTGGTGCTCTCGAGCTGGTCCACTCGCCACCACGGAAACCATTCGAGGCTAGTCTTCGCGTCGGTGAGGTCCTCTGCGCTCGCCTGTATCTCCGCCAGCATGTCGCGCTCCGTGATGTCGTCGAACATGTTAAGGGTCTCCCAGTCCAGGGCCTCGCGGTCGTCATCCTCGTCGAGGTCGCCGATCCGCACGCCAGGCGTCTGGACATCGTCCGTGAGGTAGTGCAGTACTCCAGTCATCGATCCTGTTCTCGGCTGCGCTGGGGAAGGTGAGTACGCGGCCAGCACTGGACCCACGGCTTGGGAGCCGGGTGTCGGAGGACCCGTCGTGGCGCTAGGCGCACTCCAGGCCGCGAAGTGTTTGCCCTTGCCCTTGCCCTTGCGCTGGGGGCAGGAGGCCGCGAAGTGCGTCGCCGAGTCGCACTCGTGACATCGCGTGCTACGACCGTCTCTGCCCCGCGGGTTGGTGGACCTCGGAGAGCCTGCCATGTAATGTTTGCCACCCTTCTTCCTCTTACCTTTTCCGCCCGCCAAGGATCCGGGATTCACCACTGATCCGCCAAAATGATATCCTTTGCCATGGCCACGTCCTCGTCCGAAGCTGCCGCCCTTTCCGCTGCTCATGCGCATGGACCAATTGCTGCGAGGAAAACGTGCACGGCGGCTGCCGCGGTGGACGAAGTGACGGAACCTGCGCTTGGCGAACATGTACTCGTGCAGCAGCGTGTCGCAATCCCAGCCCTCGGCGTCGCCGTAGTACTCCTGGAGCTCCGCGGGCGTGAACTCGGAGGTGTCAATGTCGTCGTCGTCGGTCATCGAGTCCTCGTCGCCCGGCTCGTCCTCGTACAGGTAGCTCGCACAGGTGGCGCAGCAGTCGCAGCCCTCCTCATCCTGAACGACGTAGTACTGAGAGGAGTTGCCGTGCCTGGCCGATCCCGTGCTGCTCCCGCCGCCAGCACTTTGTCCGTACATGTATGCGGCCGTGTCACTCCATGTTGCTGCGCCGCCGGCGCCATCGCCCGTAAACCAATGCTGCCCATGATGTCCCTTGCCGCGGTAGCCCTCGGCCAGGCTCTGCGGTCCTGCATGCGTGTGCTCGGCGAAGTGCCCCTGCTGCCGTACCATGCCAATCATCGTGTTCAGCTGGTCCGTCGTCGTTGGCAACTGGCCGCTATTGCTCTGCAGCACGAGGGGGTACACCGCCTTGGGTACATGCATCGCTTCCAAGAACAGCAAAGCGAGCACGGGCGTCGGTAGCACAAACTGATCGTCGAGTTGACCCGCTCGTGCGCGCAGCGCCTCGATACGGGTGACCGCATCGTCGACGCTTTCCCGCTCCTGTCGGCGGAAGGTGATTAGTTCCACGATGGTACTGATCGAAGTCTGAACGTCGAGCGGGCCGAAGCGCCGTCGGAGTCCCGCAGTCAACATCTGAACCCCGTCCTCGATCTGATTGCCATGGCCATCGAACCTGCCCAGCGCGATGTTCTCTACCGGCAACTCGCGACAGAGGTCCCTCGCTGTGCCCCCCAGGCGCTGGACGATAGCTGGGCCACGCTGGGGGGGCTGCAGCTCCGTCGCGGCGCACCACAGCATCACGTCCTGGACCCACAGGCAGAAGGGGTAGCCCCGCTGCTCGAGGTACGGGGCCCAGAACGGAGGAACCTTTGACGTACTCAGCTGGGCCAGCTCCGCTGCCGGCAGGCCCTGGGGTTGTTGATCGTGAGAATGGTGCCCCCACGCAGGCGCTGGAAGGCGCGACTCGCCGATGCGGTGGCCCCGCTGCGGCGACATTGGTCGGCACCCCTGGGGCTCTGCCAGCGAGAGCAAGCGGTTGATCGCCGCAGCCATGATGCCGATGACCGTGGAACTTCATATTCTTGCCGAAACTCGAGTGCCTCGCCGAAGGCGACGAGGAGGAGCTTCCAACTCTCGTCCTGGTGGCCTGTGTCGCACAGGCCGTGCACGAAGTCGGAGCCGCACAGGTACAACGCCTTGGGCTGATCCGTCCTCCGTGGCCGTGGTCGTCACGCACAGAGCCGGCAGAGACTGCAGCCGACCCTGCAGAGCCCTCCGGCTCCGCTACCAGAGTCGAATGACCTCTGGTGGGCTTCTCCCCCGCCTTCACAGGGCCGAACGGCCCTACCGTCTCTGAGATGATCGTCACCATCGCCACGAGATACGGTACTGATCTGAGATGGAATCTTTGTCTCTCTCTGTCGACAGTTCGGCCGGGCAGGCCGTCCGGCTGGTTGAGCCTGAAAGGCTGCAGTGTACACAGCATGCTGCTCGCGCCTCTCCCCTGCACCCTTTCACTGAGGAGGAGGAGGGGGAGGAGCCCCAGGGCGGAGGAGGAGGGGAAGGAGGAGGATGAGGAGGATGAGGAGGAGGAGGAGGAGGAGGAGGAGGAGGAGGACGGGGAGGCGGAGGATCTCACCCCGGAAAGCTGTTGGCGGCCCCAGGGTCCGAGAAGGGGCCTGGGAGGACGACGACAGAAAGCGACCGAGGGGGGGGAGAAGGAGAAGGCCTTCGGGGCAGGAGGAGGAGGAGGAGGTGGAACTGGAAGAGGAGGAGGAGGAGGAGGAGGAGGAGGAGGAGGAGGAAGAGCAGGAGGAGGAGGAGGAGAAGGAAGAGCGGGAGGAGGAGGAGGAGGAGGAGGAGGAGGAAGAGAAGGAGGAGGAGGAGGAGGAGGAGAAGCCCTGATCGCGCATTCTGGGCAGCTGTCTGCGCTCGGGAGCACTTCTCAGGAGGCTCGGGGACCTCCGAGCCTTCTGAAAAGGCCCGCCCCGTCTCGCCTCTCCTCCGGGCGCGCCGCCGATTCTCGAATGAGCGACGGAAAACAGCCGGTACTGCGCGAGGCGGCCTACGACCATACGCGGCGGCTTACGCGGGCCACCAGCGCCGCACGCCAAATTCAAGACGAGGGCGCTTGCGCGCGAGCTTGCGCGGACAGCTTACGCGCCAGTGTCGGCGCAGTCGGCCCCGTTTTCTGCGTCGGCCGAAGGGAGCACGCCAACACTGCTCCGTAGGGGTAATGAGCCTCACCAGGTTCTGGGGCAGCCGGGCTCTCACCCTCGTGGACCTCCTCTTGGCTGCCTCGCTCGCGGGCTGCACGGCGCAAGTGGGAATCTTGCGACATGCATGGGCCAGAAGATTGCCCAATGCTCACAATCACCAGAATAGACCAGAGCGCAAGCTCCAGTCTGCGGCGTACGATGTATTATAACGCTCCTCGCCCCGTCGTCCCTACCGGCATGGAATCAAGCTCTGAACACCAGGAAAGCACAGCAAACAGTCAGCAGCAGGCAAGCAGTTTCGGCCTTGCACACAAGCACGAGCCCGAGCGATCCAGAAAGCAAACATGCGTATGGCGGGGGCGCGCAAGCATGGACTAGCGATCCATGGATTTGGCGCGCGGTCGCCAAATCCATGGGTCGGGGGAGGCGCCCTCCCCGAAATGCGGCCCGTGCCGCCTCGCTCGGCGGCGGAAATCCGCGATGTCCCGTGGAAACGGGACCCGTCGCGAATCCACGCCCCCTTGAGCCATGCTTGCGATCGCCCGAGTGTGAGCCCGAGCAGGCGCAGTAAGCGGAGCAGACATGCGAGAAGCACACGCACGGCCGCGGGGCCGCTCTGCCCCTCCCACCTCGGCCCCCCCCCCGTGTCTGCACCACCGGGGAAGAGGGAGCGAGGGCGCAGAGAGCCAGTGATCCTGCCGCTGATCCACTGCCGACTATGATCAAGTCGGGCGGGTGCCTCTACAGGAGGGCTACTGAACAATGGTCCAAAAAAATTGCATGGGGACGAGTTTGTTTTAGCATGTTTTGGTACGTCTGGTGTATTGTTGTGGCTATGTCCTAGTCTTCGTCCAGAATCAGCCTGCAGGGGGGCATGCCCGACAAAAAGACTATGATGGGCTGGCGATCATGGGGGAACAATGGCGTACGTTCACCGCGACTCCCCAGACCCCTTCCAGGGTGAGGTCTGGCGTGGCTTGCGAGGCGTCTGCAGCCTCGGCGAGGGGAGCGTCTCAGGAGGCCCAAAAAAGACGAAGGCGAGGCAAAGGGATGGGTATCGATCGGCACAGTGCGACCCGGTCACAAGGATGCGCGGTGAAGACGCAAGGCCCTTGGACACCCCCATGGAGGGTGAAGTTGGAAGCCCCTGGCCCATGGCCATGGGCCAGGATGGGCCGAGAAGGCAACCCTCAGAGAGTGCTCACCACGTGTGATGCTGCCTGGGATGCATATGCCCTCCTCCTCCGGGACAAGACAGGGCATCCCTTCGCGCCACGGGCCCTCGCCCGCGCAGACGCATGCCGAGGCGGGGTGGCGAGCCCACCGCGCCGCGCGCAGAGGGCGCGCCCCAGCGGGCGGCGCGCGGCGCGCCTGCTGCACGCGCGCGGCGAACTTCTGGTCGAAGACGTTCCTGGGCGCCCCCGCCGAGGGCGAGGCCCGGGTCTGCGCGAGAGGCGCCCGGGGCCCCGCTCCAGCGCGGGAGCGCCGCACGGTGTGTGCGGCCGCAGCTGGCCGAGGGCCGCGCGCCGCGCCGGGTCCGGGGGTCGAGGGTCGGCGGCTCGACGGCGCCCCTGGGGACGCCAGCGCGGCACGGTGCACGCCAGCCGTCCGCGGAAGGTCGGGCCTGGTCGGGTCAGGCCGCAGGCTGCGGCAGCCCCAGGTCGGCTTCGGGCAGGTCGGCCTGCATGCAGGAGCGGCCCAGGGCACGAGCGCCCTTTGGGTGCCGAGCCTGCGGATCGCTACACACGAAGCGGCAACAGCGAACTGCGCGATTGGGCTTTGCCCCCCCGCGCCCACCGAAAGTCGCACACCTTCTGCCGCTCCAGCCAAGGGCCGCTCGTGCGCCGTCGTACGCGCAGCCGAGCGAGGGTGACTTAGGGAATCTACTAAACCAAAACAACGTGCTGGAAACAGGAACACCCGCACCAATTGCAGGTCGGGAATGGACTGACTCATTTCAATGCTAACCCGGGTCAGTCAGGCTTTGCAGGATCCTGCAAGAACCTGCAGGATCCTGCGGGATCCGGCACCCAAACCCGAGGCAAAACGCCATTGGCTCTGCAGGATCAAGATTTGGCTCTCTGACTGACCCCTGTTTGCATCGACGCTCCTCTCTTGAGTTCCAGTGTCTTTTACCCAGGGCAACCCTGGGTGCGCTGCTCTGGTGGGCGCGCGCCACCGCCAGAGAAACACCTCAGACGTCGGGTCCCTCCCCCCGCGAAGGGGCGCCCCGAAGCGTCGCCGACATCGGCACGCGCATCGAACGCCAGCCCCCGCGCAACGCGAAGCTGTCACGGCTCCAACGACCAGCGCTAGCTCGACAAGGCCAGACCATCGACCACCCCCCTGATTGGGAAGCAAAGCGAGTGCAATCGGACCTAGGCCAGAAGAACATCATTCAAGAACATGAGACCCTGCTTCGACCAGAACAAGCAGAACATCCCAGGGTTACCTCCCCAGGATATACAAGAGCGTCTAATAGACACGAAGAACACCAGGGTACCCTTCCAGAGACGACCTCGATCTTATACCTCGGTCCGACTGTATCGATGACAGGCCGCGGTTTGGGGCCCATCAGCGAATGACTGGTGAAGGAACACCGGGCACTCGGACAAAGACGAAGGAGCAACACGCTGACGGGCTCCCACTGGCGGCGCGCCACTGATGCCCGTTTTGCCCCTCCCGCTGCTAACAAAACTCTTGGCGCGAGTCCCCCCCCCCCTGGGGGGCCGGCCGCCGTGACCCGCGCTCTGCGGGCTCGACGCGGATGGGCCACTGCGGGGCCTCAGCCCAGGGCGGCGACCGCGGCGGGGATGAGCGAGGTGGACAGCTGCCAGGGCCCCAGAGTGCTCGGTCGCCCGAAGGAGGATGAGGAGGGTGAGGAGGAGGAGGACGAGAACGAGGAGGCCGCCAAACTGCGGGCCGGGCTGCTAGAAGGCAGAGGTCCTGCTGCCCGGGAAGGGTGGGGGGGGGCCTCCGCGGGGCTCCCCGCAAGGCTCATCAGTTGTCACTGTGCAGAAGATCACGTCAAGGGTCTCAAGGGCGCCGACCCCGGTTTCCCAGGCGCTCCGGGGAATTCTTGGCGGCGCGAACAGGGGGGTAGTGAGAGGGGGGGGAAGGCTCCTTAGAAGGAGGATGCCTCTTAGAAGGCGCCGGCGCTACAATCCTGGACAAGGCCCGCGCAATCTATGAAGCAGGGGTGCATCTGAGACACCTTCCTCCCTCCCCCTTCGGGAGAGACCAAGAGGGGGGCGTCCAAGAGGGGGGGGTGCACATCATGGCCTAGAGGGGACAGGAACGCAATGAAATGAGAAGAGGCGCCATGAAATCTGGCGACCTATCATGGCCCACGCCATGACATCCACCCCCCCCTTGCCATCACCCCCCTCTCTGCCGCCCCAGACCCCTACCCCCCTCTGCGCGTGGCCGATATCCCCAGGAGTCCCGTGGAATCGGGGATGGACAGACCCCCCTTTAGTAAAACGTGGTTTAGTGAAAACGACCTGAGGCCCAAACCTGGCGGGCGCGAGCCTGGAAAACAGCGGCCACGGCGCCCTCTCGAGAACCGAAAACGGACCATTCACTGATCGACTTGTCACTGTCGGCCGGGGGTTCTGTCCACCCCCGATGGAAGTCCTTCGGGATCCCCAGGGTGTGTCGCGTGAGCGCTCCGGGCGCCGGGCCGGCCCGCCGACCCGGCGGAGCCGCGAAGCGCCCCTGCCAGAGGGGGGGGACCCTGTCCGCCTCGCCGCGCCGCTGCTCGCGCCGAGTGCGCACCAGGTCCGCCCCGCGAGTCTCGGGGGCGCGCAAGCATGGACTGGCGATCCATGGATTGGGAGCGCGGTCGCCAAACCTATGGATCGGGGGGGGGGGCCCTCCCCAAGATGCGGCGGGTGCCGCCTCGCTCGGCGGCGGAAATCCGCGATGTCCCATGGAAAGAAAGAGCGTGTTCTACCGCTGCTGGCGGAAAACCGGGGAGGGTCACTGGGGGTTCCCAACCCGGCCCCCCCCCCCCTCGAAAACTGGGGGGGTCACTACCGGTTCGAACCTCTCCCCCCCCCCAGTTGATATCATGAAAAGGGGGGGGGGGTCACTACCGGCTCGACCCCCCCCCTTGAAAACGGGGGGGGGATCACTACCGGTTCGAACCCCCCCCTCGCCGTCGGCAAACGATTCCCGCTCCTCGGGACAGTTGGACAATGGTGGGAATGCTGGGACAGTGGTGGGAACGGTGGTAGTGGGGACAGTGGTGCGAGGACAGTGGGAC